CCTTTCTAGTTCATCCCAGAGGTGTTCAATAGGATTGAGATCGGGCTCAGGGCTGGCCAGTCCATTTCCGGAACCTTATTGTCCACATACCACTCATGAACAGACCCTGCTTTATGGCAGGGAGCATTGTCATGCTGAAACACACGGTTATCATCTCCGAACTGGTCTTCTACCGTAGACAACACGCAGCTGGTCAAAATGTCCTTATATCCTTCCGCCTTTAATATGCTCCGTAGTATTACGAGAGGACCAAGTCCCTTCCATGAAAAACACCCCCACACTGTCACCCCACCTCCGCCGAATTTCACTGTGGGCACTATACAGGCCGACATGTAGCGTTTACTAGCATTCGCCACACCCAAACCCTCCCATCGGACTGCCACATGGTATTGCGTGATTCATCACTCCAAATCACACGTCTCCAGTCGTCCACAGCCCAGTGGCGGCGCTCTTTACACCACTGAAAGCGGCGCTTAGCGTTCACAGGAGAAATGTGCGTTTTATGGGCAGGTGCCTGGGCTTTGAACCCCAGTCCTCGTAACTCCCGGCACACAGTCATGGTGCTAGGTGCACAATTAGTGGCACTGCGGAATTCACGGGTGATGGTATCACACGATGACATGCGATTTTCCCGTACCACCTTCTTCAATGCTCGACGGTCCCTGTCGGTCAACACACGTGGTCTACCCGGCCGTGGTTTTGTTGTGGTTGTGTCTTCCCGTTTCCACTTCACAATCACGTCCCCGACGGTCGACTTGGGCAACTTGAGAAGGGCGGAAATGGCCCTGACAAATTGCTTACTGATGTGGCAACCAATAACCGTACCACGTTCGAAGTCACTGAGCTCCCTTGCTCCACCCATTCTGTCGGTATCACGTAGCACTGAACAACATCGAGCCCTCTGCCTCTTTTTATAGCTGCAGCGGCGGTCGTAGTGATATCTAGGCTCGAGTTTACATTTACAGAGGGGTGTCCGGATACTTTTCATCAGGCAGTGTATATGAACATTGAGGGTATACTTTAAGCTTGTGTAATTCTCACAGCACTGTCAAAGACAGAGACAACAGTAAATTTGCCTCCGTGATCAGCACCTTTCCATCACCCCACAGGCATAATTATATAGTTCCAACCACTCTAGATGAGGGGTTCTCAACCTGCAGCCAGGCACATTTTTTGTAATTCTGTGCCACTCTGTATGATGAAAATATACTGGGTTGTGTAGTCTGGTAGAAGTTTACTGATATTTCAGGGCGATGACTGCCCTAATGATGAAGGTAGCAACCACAATAAAAGTCAGTAAATTTCTACCAGACATGGTGCAACCCAGAAGACAACCATCTTCATGTTTTGTTAATGATGCCAACATTTAGCAGTAACTATCATAGTGAGCAACTGTAGGCCACAGCTTGATGAAGAACATCAAATCAAGAACCACAAAAACTTCTTACAAACAACCACTAGGAGGGATGCACATGAAATGCAAAAACAGAAATTACACCTGATATTGAAAGACTACTCAAGTAAAAGCATTGTCAAATATTTCATGAATGATAGATGTTACAGAAAATTACTTAGTAATATGTAAACCTAACCCACTGCAATAATATTCCTAATTTGGCATCATTTTTAATAAATTGCCATAACATTTCAATAAACTGTCCTCATGGATAACATTGCGAACAATGAGTTGATATGAAAGGGTGAACATGGTCTCAGATTCAGAAAATGTCAAGAACCCCTTCTCTAGACCATAGTATTATAAAGAGTTGAGTTCTAATAGCTTTATTATTCTAATATTAGTGGTTCATGCCTTCCTATTACTATTTTATCTAGTGCTACATGTTGCCTACTGCCATTTGAGTAACAGGCGAATGTTGCACCTGCATCTTCTTGAGTTGCTGACGAACATCTTCCAGCTCAGCCCGTGTCTTCTTTTCAGCAGCCATCAACTGAACTTTGTCTCGCTGCTCCTTACTAACACCTTTGTACATGTCTAGCAGAAGCTTCATCTCTTTCTGATCATTTACAGCTTTCCTGTATGTGCATTAAATTTACTATTTAAGCAGATCAATATCAACACTGAGATTTGATATCTCATCACAGTGAAAATCTGGAATGTGATCTTCTGGGTTTGGAAGCAATGCAGACTTGTATGTGGTCACCAACATTTTGGAGGAATCTGTCTTCACCTTCAAAGTGGAGAAGATAGACTAACTAGATGGCTTATGGAACCCAAAGGTTCTTCACAGAATTAACCAAAGCCCTGGGCCAGAAGTGATAAGAGTCCTCCAAAATACTGTTATCCATTTACCATAACCCAATTCAAAATACGCATTTAACAATGTTTAATTCATGTACTAGTTAAAATTGTTTATATAAAAGAATGAGAAATGGAGAAAAAATAGTCATAACCAGAATGCAATTCTTGAATAATACAGCACATGCAGAAACCAATATCCAAGTAAAAGTTAGGTAAATCCACATTTTGTGTCACACAAAACTCTAGAAGAGTACTCATTCATAAAATCTTTAATGACCAAATAATAGCTACTGAATGGGGGGAGACAAAGAAGAAGAACTTTTAAACCAATGGTGCTAGTTGGTCATCTACCAGTGATAATAAGAACTGTCTGATATCATACCTACTGCATGTTTACAATTATGATTATGATGATGTGATAGTATCTGTTCCATCTTTTGGCCAAGCAGAAGATGAATTAATAAACTTGTTCACTGAATGGTGACATACTGCATTTTCTTTGTGATCAGGACTAGTTGCCATGACAATGCCTATTCCGCTGAACATCTTTGAAAAGTTGGCATGTTGCATTTTCTTTGCAATAGGGACTGATTATATGGTTCTCACATCACACCAGTGTAAATGATGATGTACTGTGTTTCTACCACACACATTATGTCACATAAAGAGCACCTTTGGAACTTTCGTGTACTCTGTAGAGTACATCTTTCCAACCGTCTGCATACACACATTTCAAAAAAAGCCAGAGAAAAAATTGTTAGTTTAAATTCTTTTAATTTCCAATTGAAGTCTGATCAACTTGTACTAATCTGAATTACTAATTCTTGGGTCCTAATGTTTTTGGACTGCAAACCATTCGAGTTTTCTATAATTTTTTACACCATTTATACAACCATAATATTTAATTTGAATCCAGTAACATAAAAAGGATAGGATATACAATCACCATTTTCCAAATGCAAGAAGTCACACAAACATAACTTACTTCAGCTGAGCCTTAAGATCTCGTACCAACTCTGATTCAGCCACCTTTGCATCTTTGGCTCTGTGTTGCTCCCTGTGATCCTTCTCTGTCTTAATTTCCTTCTTTACATCTTTTTCTCTTTTTATATCCTTTTCTTTCTTAATTGGTGGGGATGTGAGTTGACGGTCTTTATCTGCTTCACGATCCCCCTCTTCGCCCTAATAATAGTGCAAAATGAAACTGTTTTCAACACACAAGAACTGCATGATTAGAAAAAGAAAAATAAGATATTACATGCTGTTGACAAATTCTTTATACACCTGTAATATTAAAAAAATCCAGATGACAGATTTCCAGGCACTGAAATTCCCAATTAAGTTTAGAAAGTTTTAATTCCCAATAACGCTGCAAATAACATGACTGTGCCTGAATGAAAATACAAAATCTTCTCTTCATAAAAATGCTGAACTTATGTTTCTGTTTACATACTCACTGGGTCTTTAAAAAACTGCTTGGAGTATAAAATGCAGTGGAACCTCAATATAACATGCCTAATTATACCTCAAATATGGACATACCATAGCTTTGATCATGTGCCCCAACATGATTACACATGTTTTATGTTGTACACTTGTAATATGGGTAGCTAATAAAGCAGGTACTGAAGCTGACCCCAACACTTGCATTATATCATGGTTCCACTACAAAACAATTACATCATAAAATACATAAAATATCTTTTATGAAGTTATTAACACTCACATACAGCATTCAACTTATGCAGTAAGTAATCTCGTGGTTTATTTAATGACACCGCCAATAAGCTGAGACTATGCAGTGTTACCATAAATATCATGGAGTAGACAATTTCATATCAAGGGCAGAGTTGGCCTGCACATTGTCAACTTTTAAATAAACACTTTGAAAAAATTACTTATTTTAGATACAGGTCTGAGCAAAATAATATAAACACTACACTGACAGAACTGCTACAACTGGTTCAGCTAACCTCTGCCTCTTCCTCCATCCCTTCTTTATTAGCACATGTCCCAGCTTCCTCTTTCACCTGAACTGTACTTTTGTCAGTTGACACTTCCTCTTCCTTACATGAGGACTCTGATAAAGAGCCTTCCTTAATTTCTTGGGCTGTCTGTTGACCCATGCGAGCAGTTAGTTCCTCTAATTCCTTCTTAAGCTAAAAAGAATCAAGGAGAACAATAAGATAAATTGCTGAGCCACAAAATACAAATTAAATTTGATGAAGACATTAATCACCACTGAAATACTATATACTAACTTCAATAATCTTTCACTTTTACATACAGAGTGGTGTACAAAATGTTTACCCTTTTAAATCCTGCACAAATCTATATTTGTTGTTGCATATAACATACACACTAAAGGACACAAGCATGGAAAGTTGTTTTTAGTGCAGAACATGTTCGATATTCTGCCTCATCACCTCTTCTAAACGAACTTGTACACTTGTGATCACGTTACAGCACAAGTCTCCTGAAAGTGTGTAGCACAGCTGGATGATCATAGCTCTGAGTTCCACTAATGAACCATGTTTCAAATCACATGAAATAATGTCTGGGCTGTGGGATGGCCAGACCTGTCCACAATCACGGCATCCAGGAAAATGATGAGAAATCACTCTGGGACCAAAGCTTTCATACAGAAAATCAAGGATCACATTAGCTGTGTGTGGCCTGGCTCCACCTTGCATAAACCACTGAGCTTTTTATATAAATTAATAAACTACGGAATCAAATGTCCTGACAAAATGCACAATACACATCTTTTATATAAAAGAAGTACAAATATGAAAATAAAACTGACTTATACGCATGTTAATAAGGCATAATTCTCAGTCAGAAAACCAAACCTAGAACTGCATAGTTAAACTATTACTGTTTCATTACCTTTGGTATCTCAGCATTAGCATCCTTGTATTTCCTCTTATATCTGTGTACCTCCCCTTTAAGTTGCTGATTGTGATTTTGAAGGGATGTAATAAGGTGGCGCATCTCTCTGTTAATTGGACCTGTCTGCTCATTAGCTGCCAAATTCTGTTCAAATTCTATGCGCAGCATCTCATATTCTTTGCGAAGTTGTGCTAGAATGTCTTCCAGCTGTATTACTTCTGTTCGTAGTTTCTTCTGAGCCATCAGTTCTTCGCTCTGAAAGAAATGTTTCAAATTAATTATAACAAATATACCATGTATCTTAAATTATGTCTATTTACTTGCTCATACATTAATATTAAAAGAACACCATGAATTATACTATGGAAAGTCAGCTGTTTTTCCTAAACTGTTCATTTGTTGTGGCAAACCGGATAATACACCAAACATTCCTTTTTCTATTGAAATGAGAAACAACTTCATAAACCAAACCATATCCTTGGCATACCCAACTGTCATATCTGTGGAAAAAGTAAATTGTACTGCTATAAGGCAAGGAATGCAATGCTACAAAAAATTTAAAGATGTATGTAAGTATTAAATTAACTTATCAAAAGGATGGTGATTGCGACAAACACAGGTATACCTCTACACAAAGAGTGTGCCATAAGATAATGGAATAACAATATTGCCTGCACTAGGGCCAGGATAGCTCAGTCAGTATAATGACTAACCACGGGGTGGATGACTGGGATTCGATCCTTGACGGAGGCAGAGGATATTTCCTCTGGCCTCTGCGTCCAAACCGGCTCTGGGGCTCACCCAGCCTCCTATCCAATGGGTACCAGGGTCCTTTCCCAGGGGTAAAGCGTGGCTGGGGCATGATGCTGACCACTCACCCCCCATCTAGTGCCAAGGTCAAGAATGAGTAGGAGCTGTACCTCCATTCCCCCCAAACAACCTACACGGCATGTAGCAGGACAGCTTTACTTTTACAGAAATTCAAGAGTCATTCTTATGTAAACTTTACAACAGTGACTATTGGGATCACTACCATTTAAAACTCACAACAGTGACTCTGACAAGGTCATCCATGTTTATTTCCCGTCAACTAGAACTATAGTTGCCGCAAAAACTAAAACTCTTTTCTATTAAAGTAATGTACGTGAGAATCCATTTGCAAGAAGTGGATATATTTACTGTGAAACACAGTAAATCTGCAGTAAGACAATATCCAGCCACATAACTTCATGAGGGACTGGTGCTTCAGCAACCACTAACAGTTCAGATTAAGCTCCCTGATATTTTCATACTTATTTCCTATTGAAGAAGTTGATGGGCATCCACAAGTCTCAACAAACTAAACAGGTCAAGCAGCACATCTGTTTCCTGCAGATGGCTTTGAAAACTTTCATAAAGTGAGGATTGCAAAGCTTGTAAGATGATGGAACAAACGTGTGAAAGTGTCAAGCGCAGAGAATCGGAAATGCGAAGACATTTGATTGTGGTCTAATGACAATATAATCTATTTACTTACATACACTAACTGCTGTAGGCTTACTTGAATTAAGAATTAATGACAATAGTATTAATAATAATCTTTTGAAGCCCACTCTCACACATTGCACATTACACCCCAGCCTCAATAACATTTTCTAAAGTTAATTTCACCAATTTTCGCTTCCCCGTCGCAAAAAGAAAAATTCCATTTCTGTTAACACAGTCTGAACTCAAATGCAAGCACAGTCTGTGTCTTCTGCAATACTGTAGTCCAGTTAAGGGTTCAGCAAAAGAATAGTTAAACACGTGCAATGCATTCCAATGATGGGTTCAATGTCCTTAAGATAATCTTCCAGGGAGGAGGCATTCATCAGTCAGAAATTCAAAATAACAAAATTTGTACCTGAAAAAGTTTCCCTGAAAAGCATCGAAGTCAAGTGCATGAACCTGTCCAACTTACAACAAAAGGGGTGTCCAACTTCAGGGATATGACTGTATGTGTGTGTGTATATATATATACATATAAATAAAATGTACATAACAGAAACAAGTCATGAAATACAATGTTTGCTCCATGTATTATCAATAACTCAACATTTTATACCTCCATCATTTCAATGTGACGTAAGTGAGCATTTTTGCTAGTCTGAAGTTGCTGGCGAGCCTCATCAAGTTGTGTTTTAAGCTGCATGGATTCATTGTACAGGACAGAGAACTGGGACTGTAGACACTTGTATTCTGTAGTCTCAACTATGACAGATTCAGGAAGCTGACGAATCTGTTGGGAACACAAAACAGAAACATTAACAAATCTGCTGAGTAAAAAAATTCAAACAATAATGTTACAAATTTATTGATCCAACATATTAATAATTAACCGCATTTAAATATTGCAAACATCACATGTAAGTTCATATATTTATATGGGATTCAATACTTTACACATACATATAGAATAAAAATGCACAACTTTTTAGATACTAATACCTTGAACAGTGGGAGGAATCACCCGAAATAATCCAACATTTCATCTCTAAGTGAGAACAGAACAGTCAAATTATATGAATGCAAGATTTAATACTGAGTATTGTATTTACATGTCGCCCTCGGTGGACTAGTGGTTAGCATGCTCACGGGTTCAAACCTGGCTAAGGTTGATGGAATTTTTAAGAGTGATAAAAATCTGTAGTAAAATTGTGCAGAGGCAGTGGGCTTAACACTCACTACTCACAAATGCACACTTCTAAAGACAAAGAAACCTCCCACATGGGAGGATGCCAAGGCTTGTCTTTGGGCTGTTACGCCATAGAGTCAGTCAGTATCAATGAATGTTTAATGGTTCTGTTTTCTTGAACCTTTGTAATGGATCACTAACTCAAAGCATGAAGTTTAAAGAAAAAGAAAAAGACCATACTATATCAATTACACAATAACAAGGAAACAGAAGTACAAGTACTTCAGGTATCAAAGACAAATTCCAAATAAAATGTAAATATAACAAAAAATATGTACAATTCATATTTCACATATTGGTAAGTCTAGTGCACCTCATGCCCAATGTGTATTTTGTTACCAAACAGTTCCATCGTTCCCACAAAACAACAAAGGCATTTAAATACAAAGCATACAGATTGCAAAGACAAACCTATTGCAGCTTTCTAAAACAAATGTGAGGAACTAAAGCATACTGAAACAAATCTGACATCGGTCATTAAAGGTAAAGTTTAACAAAAAATATGTCTTGAAGCTTTCACTGCGACTAAATGCTATAAAATCTTTCTGGGCAACACAGGTGGCCACCCAAGAAGTTTTATCATGTCAGCAGAAAAGCTCCACTTCTGAGAAAAAATGAGAACATGAGTTTTAATACCAAATGTGAGTTACTGATAATTAAATGAATTAAAAGAAGTCAGGATTGTGCTGTGTAAGTTCATAAACCCACTAATGTCACTACTCTTCGTGTCCTGCTTGCATTTGTAAGACACATTGAACAAGTTGGAAAGGTTATATGCAAACCATACTAAAGGAGAAGATATTTTCAATCTAACTGATATGTACACTG